GCAAATGTGAGAAGCAACCTGTCGTTGGCACGTCGGACGCCGACCGTCGGCAGACCCTATCGATTTTCAGAGCCAGCGGCTCCGTTAAATATAAATGAATGAAAATGTACGTAGCCACGCTTACATATAATATTATTATTATGATGAAGTAACATATTTTGAAATTGGCTTTGTCGTTATTTGACACTGTATACATATATAAAAAATCAATTCCTATTTAAGATTGGTCATACCAAAACTTGTGATCGATTTAAGCGATTTCATACATCTCATTTTAAAGTTATCTTTTATTTCGTTATACCTACGTGGTCGAGTAGTCTGTACGCCGGGTTTCATGGTGTCGCCGACTCAAGAGGTCCTGGGTTCGAATCCCGGTGGGGGCAGATGTTTGTGTGATGAATACGAGCATTTGTACTCCAGTCCTGGATGTTTAATATGTATTTCTATATAAACATACTTATATATGTACTATGTATGTGTGTATGTATTCTATCCATTACCCTAGTATCCCATAACACAAGCCTTACAGTGCTTACTTTGGGACTAGGCTAATTGGTGTGAGTGTTGGAAATATTTATTTAGAACTTTAATAAGATTCTTAGAAAAAAATTAAAAGTAAAAAACTTTTTTAAAAACAAGCTTTTATTTATGCGCTAAATATAATAAAATAAAAATTACCTAAAACTTTTTTACTATGAACTAATAACGTCAATACACAATTTATATAATATATAAGCTTGGCGTGAGATTTACCTGTGTAAATAAACACATTGCTTTGATTTTATTTTTCAAAATATATCTACCAGAACCTACTCAATTATGGCGACAATTTATTATATTAATTGTATATTTTTTATTGTAAAAGTTTTAAAGGAAATTTTTATTTTATTATTTTTAGCGCATTTACATAAAAGCTTCTTTTGAAAAAAGTTTTTGTACTTTTAATTTATTTCTTTTAATGTCCGTGGTATTACATTTAAGGTGATTTCACTTTATTTTTCGAGTTATTCTTAGCAAGCCCTTTCATTTGACACCCATATTGTAGGAGTGCATCAGAAATAACTAGTCCGCCATCTTGTCTGTTCCGCCATATTGGATTTAGAATGACGTCACATAGCTCATCATGCATTGTCATCCAAACTACAACATTTCAGCTTAATCGAATGAAGACATCTGCTTCAAAATTGAGTTGCAAGATTCCACCCAAACAAACATACATACATACAAACTTACATACATACATTGCAAGTTAAATAAAAACTTTAAAAATAAGAAAGATGGGCGAAATGAAATTAACAAAGATGAAGTTGCTGACGGAAGCTACCTTTATAATAAATTATTTCTTTTACTTTAGAATTTCTGACACCATTTAAGCATTACGAATGCTCATTATTATTACGGTTACGTAAAACTAATTCGCCTAGAACAAATATCGTACAACAACTAAGTAAGTATACGATAAACTACTTCAATGATTGACAAAAGACATGCATACGTTCTTTCTTCACGTATTTTTTGTCGATTCAAAGCATCACATTTCAGTTTTCATTTTATGTTGTTACAGCAGTCTCATACTGGTTAACTAATTCCGCGGGAATGTTGGCGTGTGATTTAACAAAATTTTTATAATTATTTGCGGGCACGATTCGCTGACGCCAGAGCGGGCATTGTTAGCCAAAAGGAGTAAGTACCTTTAGCATGCGATTTTATTTGATAATGATGCAGTTGTTTATAATAATATGCCATGAGTAGCGTTGAGATTGGACTAGGCTAAAGATAGAGTAGGTAGAGGGGCTGATTATGTACATTTAAATAAACAACTAAGTTAATAAAAAAAGATGATAAGCATGGCATAAAGTAGGCAAGAAACACGAATGATTTCAGAAAGTGGAGGCTCGATCTCGCTGTAGAAATATAAAACTATGTAAATGCAACATAATGACAGCAAAAAAGGACTTACTGAATGAAAAGCTGATGCGAAAATGAAGTCAAATCCTTAAATAATAAAATTGGGAATAGAAAAGTCAAATGAAGATTTTAAATGTATCTTTTTAGTGGACTGATTAATCACATAGGTAAGTAAGCTGATAGTGGTCAACGGCCTAAGGGCTTGAAACTACTCCAAAAATTCAAACGTCGTTATCGATAAAAAATGAGGAGAAGATGTCGAAAAGAAAAAGTTGTGAAATCCTGAATGAAGAATGAGATATGATATCCTATCTGAAATCATCGGAGAAAGGTTGACTTTCCGAGTCCATGATCATAGTTTATTCTATTTTATTTTTATACAAGACAATCTGCAAATAACTACACCCAACTGGTTTTGTTTAAAACGAGATTTAGTAAATTTGCAGCAAGTTGTGTATCAATATCAAAGTATTTTGATTAAGACAGTTATTGTTACGAAAACAAAATTAGGTAAATCTATGAAACTAAATATACCAAGAACAAATAAGTAACTAATTATGGCTTGTCTCATCTGATAATAAACGGCCACTATAACAATAAGCGTCATACACCAAAGAGTTTATCTATGCCCGAGCTCTGAAAGCTTGTTCTACTAACTGCAGAAACACAACATTTGTACAAGTTATCTTTAATTAAGTTGCTCCTGTATCTACATTTGTGCGTAAAGAATATATAAATAAAATAAATAAATAACATTCGTTAAAACTATTGAACAATGTTATTTTGACGTAGTCTCCTCTTCGCACTGTGGTGTTAGCATCGTCCGAGGAAACAACGTTTGACGCTGAAGTTTTCTTTATCAGGCGCTTCGATTCAATCAGTAATACCACCTCACGACAAATCAGGAAATAGTACCCTTAGCACGAACCATTATCGAATTCGAATAATTGAATTCGATCTAGGTATACATCAAATGCCCGTCGTACCCATGGATCAACCGCATTGCACAACTAGTTGTGCCACAGGTACATGCTTCGAAAATTTTGTCCCCATGGCACGTCTATGTAGTTGGTTCATGGGTACTATAACAAATCACGGAACCAATATTACCCACATTGCACAACCGGTCGTGTGAATATTAAGTTTTCCTCAAAACTGTGTCCAGTGTTACCAACCCTTCCCAAAATTTTACCCTAAGTATTTTTTAAATTCCCTTAAAATCCCCTAAATATAGAAATTTATATGTACTTTACTATCTTATTACCTAAATTGTTTCGTTGCTCATAAATAGGGAAGATGCAATATTTTTATTTTTGTTTTCATTTTAAAGAATTCCATGTAGAATAAACCACAGATATATTAAAAAATTAAAACATTGTGATTTATCGCAAAAAATGCGGTTTTAAATTGACAATTTAAATTTTCGCGCGAAAACGAACCTATGGTTGCGATGACGTCACTCCTGTCAGTCACTGGTCGTAATTGTTCGTTGCTGGCTTTAAAATTTCATACTTTTGCATATTTTTCGACTTTCGAAATATTTTTTTGAAAAATTTAAAATCTACTATCCTTCACATCATGTGATCATAACAATACCACTAATATTCCGAAAAAAAGCCGTGTTGACTCAAGTTTTGTGCCAATCTACTTCAACAAAGTTCCCAAATAAATTGTTTTTGACTGGAACTTCTGACCCAAAACTGAAAAAAAAGTGGTTTCAAGCTGCGAAGAGAAATGACAATTATTCTCCAAAGACCATTATTCGATGCTGAGAAGATCACTTTGACGTATGTCGGCGAATATACTTGTTATATGCTTAATTAATCTGCTTGTACGTAAAAACGCATTAGTAACCTACCTAATACTTACAAAACCTGTCTATAACATATTTTTAATTTTACAGTTGGAGAATGACGTCGAAAATTAGATAAAGTTTAAAATGTGTAGCACAATCTACACATTGGCAGGACTGAACCAAGCTTTGCGTTTCATTTAAAATAACTGTAACACGATAACCTTCTTTACGTACTTTATGCTCCGGAGAACTCGACCTTTTACTGTACATAATTTTCCATCTCTTTTAATTTGGACATAGCCGATTGCATTATCGCCGTAAGATTTGTAGAAGCCGCTGAATAAAATACGAAGTTTAACAACTACGATTTTTACATACCGTAGTAATTTAGTCCCTTTCATTTCTACACTTAAAAACTCTGCACTTTGGACAAAAAAAGTTATAACCATGTCAACGCTAACTCTTGGTAAATTCCTGGAGTCTGCTTTGATAAACGCAACTTCCATTTTTATCAAATGTAAAAAAACGCAATAAATATTCCCATAAAATAATATTAACTTTAACAACCATAACCTCAAAGAAGTTGTCATAACAGGAGTGACGTCACTAAACGCTGATTGGTGTTTTAATATACGTTCCGTTTCAAGTATTTTTAATTCGTAATAATTGTTAAAAAACAACATTATGTAAAATAAAAACGTTGCAGTGGCATTTCTTTTATATTTTTTTAACATTTTAATCATAAAATTTTCATAAATATTATATACTTATGCATCTTCCCTATTAAAACGTTACATATTTAGTTACAGTAAATTATTTTATTGAATAAATACATTTTCCAAATGGAAAATCAAACGGAAATGAGCTAATAGGCTGTTTTGATTGGTGGAAGGCAAAGAACTGTAGTCCATACAGCCTTAGAAAATAACCTGCCACACAGTGAGTTCAGTCGTTTCATATCGTGGTACGCTCCATTCCACGCACAAAACTGAAAGAAAACACACGCTTTGTTTTTCGATTTAATTGCAAGTTTTGTTAAAAGCCCCTAAAAGAACCCCCAAAAAATTCCAACCCCTAAAAAAGTCCGTTTTAACCCACCTAGCCCCTAAATCTGGAGGCAAAACCCCTAAGTTGGGAACCGTGACTGTGTCGCCTTGTTTAAACATTGTAAAAACTGTTCACAAAGAAAAAAAAGTCTTTATTTTTGACTTCGTATTTGCTTTGGTGCTACGCATTGTCTGTTCCGTGCGCTCCATCTGCCTTTAGTTTTGTAATCTGAGTTATGGATCTGAGGTACCTTATCGAAGGCGAATGGTCGGTGTCTCGGCACGTCAGCGGGGTCCATGGCGTCGGCGGGGCGGGGAGTGGCGCGCGGGCGCGGGCGCGGGGGGTGCGCGCGCGCCGCTAGCCGACCTCCATGGGCGTCTGCCGCCGGGGCCGCATGCCGCTCGCGCCCTCGCTGCGCCCCCGACACCTGCAGACAAAGTATACGACCTGTTACCCACTTAGCCTTGGTGTTAGGCTGGAATCAAACCAGCGCCATTTGCTATCCAGGCAAATACACTAGACCTTATCTTATGGATGTGTCTATCATCCTCCTGCAGCTCCTGGGCTATAAGGCAGCGCCATTTCGACGCGGGCGCAACCCAGGAAGTGCTGGAGTAGACTCGACGCTTCCATTGATGCGTGATGCCGAGTGCGGTCGCATTTGACTGCTGAGTGCAGGACAGACAAGCTGTCACGCTGCGATTTGAACAAACTTCATGGCGCTTGTGAAGGTAGCACGCAGGCCAACTATCCGCAGGTTTCAATTCAGTAATGTCCCGCATGCGCCAACTTTATCCTACACTAGCTTTTGCCCGCTGCTTCGCTTATGTTAGATTTGATTTTGAGCGAATGAATGAATGTCAAACTCAGTAAATAACAAATATTACAAAACTTCTTCATAGACGATATTCTAAAATTATATAAATTTCTGATTTTTTACCTGCCTATTTAGTTACAGGATTATCCTCATAATTGATCAGTGCATTCGTCCGGATTGCGAAGGGTGCGGGTTCGAGTCCCGTTTGCTGCCTGGTCCGCGTGGAATTTTTTCTAGTCATATTTTCTTTAGATTTAAATTTCAAGCAGTATAAAAATTATAACTATAAGTAGATTTTTTATCGTATAGTATTTCAGGGTTCTGGTTTTGGACTAGAATAGGATCCCTAACCTTCTCTTCGTGAAATCAAAGCTCCAGGGTCTGTATCTCTTTTACGTGAGATTGATGTTTTATCTTTGCTTGCACAGTGAACCTCTTCCTGCATACGTCACGTACGATAATAATAATAAATACTTTAATACTCACAAACACAAGGGCACAGATACAACAGACACAGTTACTTCATTTTTATTCAAAAGCATCTTGTTAAACCCCTTTTTCTCACGGAAGATAGCAAGCTCTCTTTCTCTTTCTCTTTGAGGGTATGCAGCGTATATGGCAGAAACCATGGATAAAACCAAGCTTTCCTGAGTGACCATTTTACAACAAAACTAAAGTCAGAAGAGTGGAAGTTAATCTGAGAAAGTGATACGGCGAAAAAATCTTGTATCTCTATCACAGGAGTCAGCTGTGGGTTCGCCTTAACTATACATTCCACACTTTACACGTCCAGATTTCTCTCAAAGAAGTAAAGTGATATTCATAATTTAACTTAATTTTAATATTGTCATTAATCTTTCTAGATGTCATTTACTTAAGATGTTAACCATTTTCAGTGTGTTATTGTATCCTTTACATAAGCTCCATTTTGTGTCGAATCCAATTTCCTTAATTATTTTTGTCGATAACATTATAAACGTTAGTCCTACAGAATTCCACCTACGCTTAAATTAAAGCTCAGTGATTGCTTTATAAGCTCGTTTTTATAATATTTCTAGTAGAATGAGTATTTTAATCGATCATCATCATCATGTCAGCCGTATGACGCCCACTGCTGAGCATAGGCCTCCCCCAAGGATCTCCACACCGATCGGTCCTGCGCCACTCGCATCCATCGGCTTCCCGCGACCTTCACAAGATCGTCGGTCCACCTTGTGGGGGGCCTACCCACAGAGCGTCGTCCGGTGCGTGGTCGCCATTCCAGAACCTTTCCGCCCCAACGGCCATCGGTTCTTCTTGCTACGTGTCCCCCCACTGCCACTTCAGCAGAGCCATCGTTTGAGCGATATCGGTAACTTTAGTTCTCCTACGGATTTCCTCATTTCTGATTCTATCGCGTAGGGAAACACCAAGTATCGCTCTCTCCATTGCTCGCTGCGTGACCTTCAGCCTTCTTATGAGACCGACAGTAAAGGACCACGTCTCGCTTCCGTAGGTCATCACTGGCAACACACACTGGTCAAAGACTTTTGTCTTGAAACACTGAGGTAATTTGGACGCGAATATTTTTCGTAGCTTCCCGAACGCTGCCCATCCGAGCTGGATACGACGAGAGATCTCTTTCTCAAAGTTGGACTTACCTAACTGGACTGTCTGTCCTAGGTAGACGTAACAGTCGACAACTTCGAGTGTAGTGTTCCCAATTTTAACTGGAGCGGGTACTACATGGGCATTCGACATAATTTTCGTCTCCTCCATGTTCATCTTAAGACCCACTTTTTGGGAAGCACTACTAAGATCTTCGAGCATCGTGTTAAGATCTTCCAAGGTCTCAGCCATAAGAACTACATCATCGGCGAAACGAAGGTGCGAAAGGTGCTCGCCATTGATGTTAATGCCTCGTCCTTTCCAATCCAGAAGCTTAAAAATATCCTCCAATGCAGCTGTGAACAGTTTCGGAGATATCACATCTCCCTGTCTCACGCCTCGCTTCAATTGGATAGGATTGGAGCTCTGGTTCTGTAATCGGACTGACATAGTGGCGTTTTCGTAGAGGTACCTTAATACCTCGACATACCTGTAGTCTACTTGGCACCTTTGGAGAGACTGTAACACCGCCCAGGTCTCAATCGAATCGAACGCTTTCTCATAGTCCACGAACGCCAAACAAAATGGCAGATTATACTCTTCGGTCTTCTGTATAACCTGCCGCAGCGTATGAATGTGGTCTATGGTACTGAAGACTTTGCGGAAACCGGCTTGTTCGGGAGGTTGGAAGTCGTCAAACCTGCGTGCGAGACGATTCGTAATGACTCTCGAAAACAACTTATAAACATGGCTAAGAAGCGAGATTGGTCGATAGTTTTTCAAGAGTGCTTTGTCACCTTTCTTGAAGAACAGGACAACCCCACTTCTGGCCCATGCTTTTGGCGTTCTGCCTTCAAGGATGATGGAGTTGAAAAGCCTCTGGAGGACTTTAAGTATCGGCTTACCGCCCGCTCTCAGAAGTTCTGCTGTGATTCCATCATCGCCAGCCGCCTTGTTGTTTTTAAGTTGTTTGAGAGCCATACTAATCTCATACAGGCTGACGTCCGGGATATCTTCAGTGTAGTGTCGAGTAAGCTTGGCTCTGGGGTCTCTAGCCTTGCTTTCAACAGGTGCTTGCGTGGAATATAGCTATCCATAGAAACTCTCAATCTCCCTCAGGATTTCAGCCTTAGACGAAATGATGCTACCGCTGTCAGTCTTCAGCTTTGTCAATTGGCTTTGCCCAATAGACAGATCTCTCGCGAACACTTTGGAGCCTTTGTTGCGCTCGATAGCCTCTTTGATACAATGTGTATTAAATCGGCGAAGATCGCTCGTCATGGACTGTGATATCTGTCTATTTAGCTGCCGGTACTGACTTGCATCTCCTGAATTCTGTAGTCTCATTTCGTTCCGCTGTTCCATGAGTAGGAGAGTTTTGTCAGAGAGTTTCTTAATTTTGGTACGGTGGGCTTTAAAATACTTGGACCCTACCGTACGGACAGTATCTACCACCGTGTTGTTCAGATCGTCCACATCTAGGCTGTTCTCAAGGGATTCGAAGCGGTTTTGAAGCTCGAGTTGAAAGCTCTCGGGGTTCTGTAGTTGTGCAGGTATTGGTCGGAGCGTCGACTTCATCATTCGAGATCTTTCGAGCTTAATATTGATATTCAATGTGCCTCGTACTAACCGGTGATCACTTCCCGTTTTAACGGCGTTAATCACAGAGACATCATTGAATATTAGCTTTTTCGTCGACATGATAAAATCGATCTCGTTTCGGACTTTACCGTCCGGACTCATCCAGGTCCATTTTCGATTTTGGGGTTTCCTGAAGAAGGAGTTCATCATATAGAGGTTCTCCCTCTCCATAAAATCTACTAACATCTGTCCTCTGGCATTCCGTTGTCCAACTCCAAATTGTCCCACTCTCAACTCATCACCGCAACGCTTCCCCAACCTTGCGTTAAAGTCCCCCATCACAACCGTGTAGTGTGTTTTGTAGCTATGCATGGCTTTAGTGATCTCCTCATACATAGCTTCCACTTCGTCATCTGGGTGCGTCGAGGTCGGAGCATAAACCTGTATGACATTCAACGAATATCGTTTTGGTATTCTGAGTATCAGGTATGCTACCCTGGTCGACACACTTCCGATGGTGATGACGTTGTGGACAAGGGACTTGTGGACGATAAACCCGACACCGCCTAGGGACTGTTGATCGCCCTCCCGGTAGTATAGCAAGTTACCGGAATTGAGAATTATCGAGTCCTCTCCCTCTCTTCGGACTTCAGATAATCCAATAATATCCCAACGTAACTTACTAATAGCTTCTTCCAACTCTATTAGCTTAGCGTCGGTCCTCAGTGTGCGCGTGTTGTAGGTTGCCAGGTCGAGTCGTCGTAGGTGGTAGCCGGATCTTACCCGGGGATTCTTAGCACCCCTTGCCCCGCCGTTACCATAGCTGCTACCGTGGCTAGGAATAGCAGGGCTGCCGGGGACTGGGGGCCAATCTTTAATTGTGCTACTCATTTCTTGGGGGGGTTTTGCCATAATCGCCACGCTTGGCAGGCGGGTTGGCGATCGCAGTACAGCCAAGATATTGTAACAAGACGCTGCTGCCCGTCTTCTGCTGGCTGTGTTCCCTTAGTCGCCTTTTACGACACCCACGGGACGAGAGTGGTGGTGCTATTCTAGGCAAAAATACAATTTCCCACATTTTGGGAAAAATAGTCAAATTCATTAGTGCCGTATTTCTAAATCTATTAAACCTACAGAGCAGAATTTAGCTTTCTTTAGAATGTACACAATGACTTTATAGATAGGATGGATCTTTCAAAAGTTACAAGCGAGAAGTCGAAAAAAGACCGAAAATTTCGAGGTTTTTGGGGCACCACGCAGTTAGCACAGATCTTTCGAAGCTGCAAATGTATTTTTACACTATTGGTAAGTATCCTAACAACATACCAAAATAACTATAAATTGCAATTTATTGTAACAAATTTCACTTTTTGTCTACGATGACTGGAATATTACAAAAAGAACGAACAATAAAAAGAAATTCAAGAAACAAACAGTATACT